TGGGAAAGACTAATCTTTCCCCCAAGGGCAAGGAGGGTCAAGAAAGAAGTTTCTAGAAGAAACTTAGAACAAAGGATAGGATAGAATATACAAAAAAAACTTAATATATAAAAATTTTGTATGACCATATGGCTAACGGCCACAATATCAGCAGTAACAATGATGGGAAAGGTTCTAAACCTCATCAAAATTGGGAATAACTCTTGTTGAATCCTAGGGCCAGCCATTAAAATGTCATTCAATGACACTCCTGAAAAAGACTTCGTCGATGCATTAAAGACCACATGTAGCGTTGTAATTGTGCTAGATTCCTTCATAACTGGATGATGTGGAATATAATAGGAAATATCACATGAGCCTGACTGATCAACTAGTTCCATGTGATGTAGATCTATGTATTCTCTCATGAACTCCCTATACAACTCATATGTTTCTGGTGTTCTATTGAGTTTGTACTCTAAAGCCTTAAATCGTTGTGATGCTAACTACTTAGTATAACCCAAACATGATGGGTTCTGTTTAAAGGGAAGTCTCACCAGATGCCCAGAATTTCTCAACTAACTCTTTAGTGATCAATTGAATATTATTCACAGAGAATGTAGGTTGATTTATGGTATTGAGAAAGGCAGTTCCAGCAATAATCCATCCAAGTTTGATGCAAACAGCAAATGGCAGTGTCTCCTTTCTCTGAATTACATCTCCTTTTAACATTGTAAAGAAAACATTAACACCCAGTAAAATGTCAACTGGTCTTGTTTCAAAAAAGAATGGGTCAGCCAGAACTAGATCATCAAAATTGTTTAGAATATGTGGAGGGAGAGGAATATTAGGAACATCCAACGTTATTTTTTTAATCACGAATGCCTTTGTACTAAAGTTGGAACTAAAATGGGGGGTTTCAAGTTGAACTAAAATGGGGGGTACAGTTCAACTCTATTTCACCAGCAGTCACAGCATTGTAAGATCCTAAGCAAGAAATCTGGACAATAGCACTGCTTTTCATCAAACATAGTTTCTTGACACAGTCTTCTGTTATAAAGGACACCTCAGAACCGCTATTCAACAAAGCTTGACAAGTTATGAAATTTCCAGATGAGTCACTTACCTTGACTGTAGCAGTACAAAGAAAAACCTGTTTAGTTCCTTTACGACCTACTCTGGTTACACTTGAAAAGTCAAAAAATCCAGCACAAGTATTGGTAGTTGGATTTGATAAATCATATGGCATCAATCGGAAGGTAGGAGCATCAGTCAAGGGTGGATTAAATACCTTCCCAGGTTTTAGGGGTGAAGACACTTCAGAATCTCTATTGATATGTAACATAGTATGATATAATTTACCACATATTCTGCATCTACTTAAACTCATGCAGGTTTTAGTTTGGTGTCGAGCAGTAAGGAAATTAAAGCATAGTCTATTCTTCCTCACCACATCTATCCTTTTCTGAGTGCTCAATTGCATGAACCTTGAACACTTAGATAATGAGTGCTCATTCTTACAAAGAAAACAAGTATTACCACCAGACACCAACGATGTCACATTTGGATATGAAACACTTCTCCGTTCCTTAAGTGGCAACTTGATGGCTTGAAGAGTTCTCGCATGATCCTTTAAGAAGGTAAGCAAGGTCTCCAGCATCTCTAGCTTATCTTGCTTTAAGGTACATTCCCATCAACTCCTAGTATTTTTATTGAATTTTTTCGTAATTAGGTGAACTATTAACACTTCAGAAAACCCGGTAATATCATGATCAAGTACACTCAATGATCGTACACATTCTTTTGTAATATCCACAACTTGTAATATAGACTGAGATGAATCAGTATTACTCAGGATGTTTATTAATTTCTTGATCAAAGCATTTACCAGTTCATGTTTATTAGAAAATTGATCTCATAAGAGTTCCATTGCAGTTTCATAGTTAGAATCCACTATCGGAAGTGACTGGATAAATTTCAAAGCATAACCTCTACAGGACGATTTTAAATATTGCAATTTCTGACAATTTGACAGATTAGAATTATTGTCCACACTAGCCTTAAACAGATCCTGGAATGATAACCAGTCCTCGACATTTCCACTAAAAGTTGGAAGAGACAATTTCGGAAGTCATATATCCGTTACCTATGATTTTAAAGTACAGTAATACCCCGAACTTACACGATAGGTGGGACCGAGCGATAACTGCGTAAGTCAAATTCGCGTAAGTCGGGGTATAATTTCGCAATTTGTGTAAACTCAAAGTCGGATGTATGTAAGCTACTAAATGTTCTCGTTAATCTTATCTTGTCTTTTGATTCGTTCACGGTTACAAGAAATCACCACATATTGTCTCTCGAGTCTCCGTAGATATAACAAATACAGAAATAAATAACACAAAATAAATAATAGCTATGTGTCGATTCCGTGCTACACGTCCGAACATGTAAACTGAACAATAGTGTGGGGGAGTGAGTAATCAAAAGTTGCATGGCGCTCAAACAAAAGACGAATTGACGAGATGTGAAAATCGCGTAACTCTGGGTTCATGTAAGTCGGGGCATTACTGTATCAGCATCACTTGTGGCATTCATTCTTTGTTTAGAGTTCTTCCATTTGACCATTAACCAAAGTTCATCAATAGTCTCCTCAATAGATTGCTGTTCCTCTACATGCATGTCAATTTCCTTATCGTTACACTGCAAAAAGATCTCGTGAAATACATCATATAATTCAACTCTAAGTTTCTTAATTTTGGTTTGGAACAGTTCTATTTGAGTATCATCTGCAACCTCAATAGCAGCACATATCCTCTCCTTAAGTTTGGTAGTGTTGGACTTAAGGACTTTCTTTTTCGTTAATGCACACTTAACACCCTCCATGATAACAAGTAATAATAAAAGGTTAACTCAATTGCTCGAGCGTATTGAATCCTGTTTCTATGGAGTTAATCCAAAAAGTGTGAACACAAACTCACGTAGTAGAAGGTTTCAAAGTTTTCAGTCCAGCAGAAATTCACTACACCATTTGTTACACTATCCGCTACAAATCTGCCTCAACAGACCAAATGTTGATGCTATGAATGGACTGTATACGAACTCACAATAATTGCACAATAAAACGATCTTTATTGTTTTAAACTCTCTTAAATCATTCAGGCAATACAGTTTGGATTCCTCTTGAATCCGGTACACAAATAAGATGGCGACAACAGACGAGAACAACTCACCAAAAATGTGTGAAAAAGCGCCCTCTCACAATAAAAATAAAATAAAATTTTCCGAATAATGATAATGAATAATAATTTACACAGTTTTTTTAATCAATGACTAAAGGAACAAGCTGTAGTCCCTGTATATTCCAACTAATGGCTGACTCTGTTGTCCAACATTGGAATGGAATGCAAAAGTCTACTGCCATGAGTTACATGTAAATATATTTAGTTATAGTTACTGTTTTTCATTATTGTTCTTCATTTATTTATATTGTTTACTAGTGGTCTGTTCTAGAATGAGAAAGAGGAGTTATGCACTATCACTTGTGAGTATTGGAAAAAAGGGATTGTTATCTTAACCATGTATGAGAGATGAGGCAGGGTGGCTCACTCCTGCTTGCAGAGCAGTCCACAGTTTGGATATGAAGCTGAAATGAAAGTCTCAAATAATATTTTATCTGTACAAACTTTTGACTTCTGTAATCTTTCAAGCACTTGTTTCTGTATGAGGTGCATCCAGAAAGTAAGTACCATTTGCATATATCTTCTGTGCATTTTGGCAATGTTAAGGTTGCACATGCATAGTTACTTTTTCCATTCAAGAATGAAGTAACCAAGCCAAAGTTGTTTTTCTTGTTCATGTTGAGAATCACTAAGCTTCAGTTATAATGTTCAAAACAATCAAGCAAACCTGCCAGTTATGAAATACAATTGGTATTTTAGTTTTGTGAATGTGAGAAATGTTCAACCACACAAAATTTACCAGAAAATTTGTGAAATTTGCAGACTAAATGTGATAAGTGAAGGTATGGTAAGAAAGTAGGTTAGAATATTTAACAAAGAAGGGACAACAGTCATGATGAAGAACCTAGTGGCCACCCATCCCTAGTCAATGAAGACTTGCTGCACAGTATTGAAAAGACAATTTGTTTTGATAGACAGTTCACAATTTCTGGCTTGTCTCTACAATTTCCTGACATTTCAAGATCTTTGCTGCATGAAATTGTGACTAAACACTTGCATTTCAAAAAGTTGTGTTCAAGATGGGTGCCAAAAATGACAATGGACGTTCACAAAACAAAATACATAGGATCACCTTTGAACTTTTGCATTGGTATGAAGGAGAATGAAATGGAAAGAATTGTCACTGGTGATCAGGGGTGCTGTACATTGGGGCACATGCCCTCTTGATGACAAAATTAAAATAAAAATATTTATTATTACCAAAAATTTGTTCTAGCAGGTCATGATTGTTCAGTTGAGTACCAAGGTACTGCTGTATTTGATTAACATGATTTTGATATACAGAATAGCATCAAGGGACTGCATGTAATATATGTGTATATATATATTTCTTGCAAAATATATGTATGATGCCCCTTTTTATACTTGTATCTCCCTCTTTTTTATAGTCTGCAGGTACCACTGTTGGTGATGAAATGTGGATTTTCCACATGACACCACAAAGCAAACAACATCACTGAAATGGTTTGAGTCATGGGCAGCGGAATTCTCTGAACTAATTCTCTATCTTCAATATAGTGCCTCAATTTGCATGGTGATTATGTTGAAAAGTAATATGAAGTTGTTGATATTAAAACAAAGTTTTGTAGTTATGTAAATTCAAAAGATATCTACTGTAATAATTACTGCATATTTAATGAATATATCAGTAGAATAAATAAAAAAATATGTTATATTTTTTTAATTATTCTTATTTTTTCATATATTTGTTTATTTATTTTATGATAAATTAATGTAAATTACACACAACTAGTATGTTATTGTTAATATAGTAATAAATAGTTTTTTACAGTTGAAAGACATACATTTTGCTGCTGATCATTGTTATTATTCTCTGTTATCCTCATCTTCAATATTAAGTTCAGAAGAATATAAAATGAAAAATGAAATTGAAAATGAAATTCAGGTTACTGTAGAAAAAGAAATAGATGAGATAAACCAAAATGGAATAAACAATAAAAAGAGGTTAGAAAATATTTCTTAATATTATAATAAAAATTAAATTTTTTAACGGTTATCTTAATCCTGACAATTTCTTTTTGTTGGAATCAATGATTGAAGTCATTGTCAAATATTATATGGCATTGATATATACAACGCATTGTGTCGTGGTGATGTTTTGTAAATATTTTTCCTGTTAAGTAATAAAAGGTTGGTGGCGCTGTTGACTCCTTGGGGAAGTGTTGGTAATGGTGACCTCGTTTTGCTCTCTCCCTTTTCAGCCTTGACCTTTCGTGAGTCAAGTCAATGTTATCTTTTATGTAATCTTCCTTTGTTACATAACCAGTTACACAAGTCTAACCAATTTATCCTAATCTCCAAAAAGCAATATCCAGTCTAACACTTTTTGTGTACCAGTTAGATTAACCATAACCTAATGCATTGTGCCACATGTTTACAGTTGTACCAGATGTTTACCAGCTTAATGTTGCCAGAAAATCTTTTTTATTGTGGCATTTTGTTTATCACTTAACTTGAAGATTTTTTATTTTCCAATTTTATTGTATTTAAATGTAATTGTAAAAAATTTTTACATAGTTTAATATTTTACAGTGCTTCACAAAGTCAAATTATAAAATATATCAGTACTGTAATTTAAACAACATACTCAAACTTTATTTAATGTGTTTAAGTTTAATTTTATTTTTATTTCTGATGTTAGTTTTAATTTATTATAATAAAATTCTGATATGGAATACCAACAGTGTCTACTTATAAATTGCAAAAGTGCAGAATCTTTAAATTAATAAGCATTTTTATGATCTGAAAATTTATTAAAAATTGCCTGAAAAACCTGGAAAAGTCAGGGAAATTCAATCCAAAGTAATGCTAGACATCTTGTAACCGTGAAGTATCTGATAAAATAAAGGAATATGTTAAATATGTATAGATGAAATGTGGAGAAATTTTACAATGAATCAGATTCTACAGAAGAGATGAATTTTCAAATACCAACTTAAAATGTTCTTTAAAAATGAAAGTATTCTATATGAAACTACAGCATCTTATTCCTTCAAACAAAATGGAATAGGGCTGTCCATAAATTATGTCTGTTTTTTTTTATTAAATTTTTACTCTCTGTAGTGCTAATTCGTATGTAATTACCTTACAATACAGTATCAGGCTACAGACAAAATAATTTGAAAACTTGATTTTAATTCCATATGCTACATAAGTTATGATACTACAGTATCGTGTGAATATAGGATCCATACACGTGTATGGGGGGATTGCCATACATGTGTGCAGAGGGGAGGTGAGATAAGATAAGAGAAAGGGAAGGGGAGAATAGTAAGATTTATGGTTTGAAGCAAGACTTCCACACTGTAGGGAAGGAGTCAACATTGTGAAAATTAATAGTGGTGTTATTGCAGGTGGCCTTATATATTTCCACCTGCTCAATATGTTTGAGAATACATAGGTGCTACAATGCATCTTCTAAACACTCACCTCAAGGGACATCAGACTTCCATCATGAAAAGATTAGCTAGCTTTGCCTCCAACCATTGATCCAACCATAGCTCTTTCCATTGATGTGGACTTCAGCAGTGCCAGCTTCTTATGTAGCTCTTCTGGGTAACCCTTTCTCAAACATCTTAAGCATGTGGGAATATAAAAGGCCACTTGCTATTAATAATTAGTTTGCCTAATGACACTCATTTAACATGGGTGAAAATGTTAGTATGTATTAAAAAATTGCCAGATTATAGGTTTGATAAGAAGAGCCTATTTGTATTATGATAAAATCGGTGACAGGAATAAAGAAATTGACAGAATATTGCAAGTAGCCCAGACCCTAGGTTATAAGAAAAGCGCCATTGTAGGCTTACTCAAAAAATATGAAAGGAACAAAGAGAGAAAAAGCTAAAATACTGCTCCCAATAGACGCTTGAAGTTTACATATAACAGTAATTTGAACAGTATTATGAAAGAAGTTGCTAATAGGAAACAAGCAAGAATGGTTTTAAAAAGAGACCCAAATTTATATAAGATATTGAGGAATGATAAGGATAGAATAAAAACAGAAGAAAAACCAGGTGTCTATAAAGTTCCTTATGAGAACATCCAACTAGATGTTAAGAAAGACTACATCGGCGTCACCAACAGGAGCTTAGGAGTAAGACTAAAAGAACATCGTTATAACGTAAAAAAAGGATCCAATGCTACAGTTATGTCGCAAATGTTGCAAGTCCAGGGTTCGGTGGTGAAATGGGACGAGGCGACAATTATAAAACCAGTGTCTTCCCCCACTTTATCAATGACGGCGGAGAAGATTGAAATATATAGGAGTAGGCTACGTGAGGGATGTTTAAATGCGAGGGATGCTGAGAGCCTATCGTCGGCGTGGAAATACATGATT